TGTTAATCTTTAAAGTGCTACTAGACTATTTGTTGTTTTTTAAGTTTTTCCTGTTACAGACTAACGCGGCAACTCCTCTGAAGCTTATAAAAAAAGATTGCGAAACACTGCTCTGTACCATTCCTTTTGGCCTCCCTGTTTCCTTTCACCTTTGGCAAGCTGGGCATGCAAGAATTTTGGTAAAAATATATCAGATGTGCACACAGTGCCTGCTGTATCTCAGCTTGTGCTGGATAATCAGAGCCTCAATTCTAAAGGAGTTGGCAATACTGAGGTGATCGATTCCTCCCACGTTTTGTTGTGGATTTTCCAAAGAAAATGCTGGTGTTTTTTATAGGTCACCCACATTTCCCAGTCATAGCTGAGACTTGGGATTAACATTGGCTTTCTCAACTAAAAGTCTTATACATGTTCAGATGTTGTTATTGTGAAAACCTGGAGAGGCAGTCTGCTCAAGGCAAAGTTGGCCTCGAATCTTGACATCTATGACTTCAGTTGAATGGCTTGTGTGAAATTTGGAAGAGCAGCTCAGAGAGAGACCTCTCTCTTTTACTTAAGGACAGAATCTCATGACAGCCTGAAGAAAAAGTCCTCGTGGCAGACAGAAAGTCATGCCCGCAGCGTATCCTCAGCCTTAGGCTACTTATTGCTTCAAGTGCCTTCAAGAAAGTGAGGGTGATTCTCGTGTTGTGTGTTAGTTTTATTTAAAAGTTTTTCTGAGTGTTATTTTAACAGGTAAGTTAATCTCCTACCTTCATAACTCTCATGTAGTTTATCACTGCACGATAGTATGAAAAACAATCATGTTAACTAAGTAAGTAACTAGGCAGTTAAGAAGCATTACAGATTGCTTAAAATAAATTTGATACACTCAAAATCTTTTTTACCTTTTATTCATTAAAGCAAAGAGGTACTCATTTGCTATAACAGTGGTTTTAAATGCTTGATTGAAATATAGTGATTAAATTCATATTTAGGTTGTATAACATTTATTTCTCTTGTGTTTATAAAACTTACATATTTTAATAATTTGACATTTTTTATGTAAAAGACATGAACCTAATGAGAACAGGACATGAACAAATTAAAGAGAAAAAATTATTTAACAGAATGTAAACCACAAAAACGTTATAATTTATATTTGTCCGTAGTTAGTAAAATAAGTAATTCATTAAACAATAAATATCCTAAGAGGTGGATTATTTACAGTGGTGTAGGGAGGAGGGCGTGAGAGGGGAGTTGCTCCCAGGTGCCACACTAGTGGGGCACCAATTTAGTCCCGCTCTGCCCCCAGCCTGATCCTCCTCTCTGCCCCCAGCCTCTCTGCCCCGAGCCTGATCCTCTTCCATCTCTGCCAGAGAGTTAGTGTGTGTGGGGCCCAGCCCCAAACTGGAGGGGATGGAGTAAGACATGGTACAAGCTCCCCCTACCCAGGGTGAGGCTCAGATGTGGGCCAGGTTTGGGGCCCCGCCACAAGGCAGCAGCGGCGGGGATGGGGGAATGCAAATTTTGCCTTTGCTCCCGGGCGCATAACACCTTTGCTATGCCTCTGCCACCAATGCTCACTTCCTCCAACTAATCTGAAAAGTGACATTATTGCTAATCTCAGAAGTGACCATGGGTCAAATTCTGACCTGGTTTTAGTGGGTGCTCATCTCTGTTGAGCTTATGTAGGGTCAGAATTTAGCATTGTCTATTCCACCATCTCATCTCAGGAACAAGGGCGAAGAAGGCTTGTTTCCAAGAAAGAGGGTAAAAAGGTGATTTCCTGGCAATGAGACACTTTAAGAGCAACATTTTCTTTTAAATCCAGATAGGTGTTACCAGGTCCCTATATTTTGTCATTTTCAGCGGGAGTAGGCAAGATAATTGTGTCTGGACTTTATGGATAACTGGCAGGTATTCTTTGTTCAGAGTCAATTAAATTAGCACTACTGCCCATGTGAAATTCCTCATCATATTATCTGTCCTTGTGAAAGCCAAAGAAGAATAGCTCTTTGGCACATGTGGTTTTCTCCTTCTCTTACAGACGCTTTGGAGGCCTCTCCCCTAGTTTAACAAGAGAGGGTGTAATTGTATTCTACACAAGACACAATCATAAAAGAACTCTCCTTCCAAAGCCCAAATTGGTATTACTTAAGGGCTTTCATGCCAATCAATAATTTTAAATTAAAATACTGGAAAATGGCACTTCCTTTTCTCCTCCTTTGCCCCTTCTTTCTGTGGTCTCTCTTTTTCAGTCTCTTTTTTTACAGTGTTGTGCTGGTACTTTAATTTCACTGGTTCAAATGTGTCCTTTTTCTGTTAACACCCCCCATCCCGCCTACAATTTTGCTGCTCTGTGGTATCAGTCGTTAGCTTCTCAGCAGCTGTTCCTGATCTGCAAGATGTAGAAAACAGCTGTTTAATATTAATCATTTCAATTAGCAATGGCAACTTCCTTCAACAAAATAAAATCTACTAGGGTGCCAGGCCGACAGTTCTCAGCTTTTCAAATGGATTGAAGTTCCTTGACCCAAACAGAGCCAATCAATTACTAGGCTCATTGCTGACGCCAGGTTATGGGGAAAAATCAAGAGTAAAAGTGGCCAGCTCATCAGACTGCCTTATCAGTGCTGTAAATAATACAGAACAACTGTATTAGCTGAGCTCCAGCTGTGAGCTGATCTACTGAGGAATTACCTACAGAGATGAATGAGCTCTTAGTTCTTAGGTTCAGTTTGGACAATGCACTAGAACAGTTACTTTAATGTCTTTCATACAAATGGCTCCCTGAGGCACTTTACAGAGTTAAATGATGAATAAATGACGGAGAGAGACAGAGAAATTAAGAATTACACGCAAAGGAGGAAAAAGTGTTTTCAGCTGAGATTGGAAAATAGACGGAGAGTGGATGAGAAAGGCACATAACAAAAGTTCAAACTTAGTCCAAGAGAAGAGAAGGCTCTAGCCATCAGCAACCCAGATAGTGTGAAGAGGCAGAGGAAGCCAGGATAAGGCACATGGAAGGAGTCAGCGAAGCCAGTAGCAAGTGAGAATGTCTCTGCAATAGACTGGTACAAGAAGGCAATTCTGAACTGGTTCTGGAAATGCATAGAAAGCCAGCAGACTTATCTGAGGTTTGGGGTGGCTGTGCAGGTGCTTTTCCATACATGTGTTTAGGAGCTCTCCCTTTAACCATTATCTGAACCCATCAGCTTTTCAAAAATTGATCCATAAATCTAATGAAAGCAGAAGTTCTGGCAAAATCTCCAATGCTTTTGGCTTCCAGGCAAACTGAAAATCCCACAAAAACAGCACCCCTCATGTAATTTAAAACATCTGCTTCTAGGGCTAAAGACTTGCCTCAGCCAAACAAAACACAGAATGATAACATCCATAGAAATTAAGGACATTTGGCTCTGGACCCCTGGCAATCTGGACCCATCTCTCATAGAAACAAAGAACAAACATGAAACAAAATATAAACATCTTGCAACCTCCTTATTTGGTTCAAATTGATTTTTTCACCAATTTGCAACATTTCTACTTTAAACATAACAGAAGAGTTTCGTAACAAGTAGCTTTGCCTCTCAAAAAGTGAAAGGAGTCGTTTATGGTTAGGAAATTTGGAATTTACTACTGAATTCTTTAGGCAAGGTTAATCGATTCCAAGGCCAGAAGGGACCACTGTGATCACCTGATCTGCCTTCTTGTTTTACACAGGCCATAAAACCTAGAACAGCTCTTTTAAAAACCATCCAATCTTGATTTAAAAATTGCCAGTGATGGAAAACCTACCACAACTCTTGGTAAATTGTTCGAATAATTAATTAATCTCGCTATGAAAAAACGATGCCTTGTTTCCACTTTGAACGTGCCTAGTATCAACTTCCAGCCCTGGATTGTGCTCTACCTTCCTCTGCTAGACAGAAGAGCAATTATTAAATATTTGTTCACCATGCCGATACTTTTACACTGATCAACCTTCAACCTTCTCTTTCTTAAGAGTACTTAAGGGTAAGGAGTATGATACACTAAAAGATGATAGAGCGAAAATACATTTCCTCTCTGGTGTATATTTGCATGTATATTTATGCAGTAGTTCTACAAACTCTCAATACCCAACTTCCAAGCTCATAATGTCTGACACAGAACATGAATGCTTCTGATGAGAAACACATTTTGCAAAAAACAGTTTCACATTTACTAGCAGATGACTCTCATTTTTCATCGAGATTGGTAGTTTGTTATTCACCTCTGCTTAGTATACTTGCACGTTTTGTACACCTTTTCTAAACAAACCAACTTCTCCCTTATTGAATAGACACAGTGGAAACAGCAATATAATCATGAAGCCCCAACTTCTGCAAGGTACCGAGCACCTTTCAACAGCTGACATCCTTAATTCACTTTGAAGTTAATGGGCATCAAAGACACTCATTACTCCATAGGTCTCAATCCTAAGGAATATTGTAATTATTGTTTATATAGTAGTGAGTAGAGGCCCCAACAAAATCAGGATCCCAATGTGCTAGACACTATACACAATAAGAAATAGTCCTTGCACTAACGTGCTTACAATGTAAATAGACAAAAGGTGTGGGTGAAAAGACAGAATCATTATCCTCATTTTATCTACAGAGAATGTGTGTGGAAAATCCACACCCCTGGGCACTGCAGCTCTGCTAACCTCCATCCCCAGTGCAGACATGGTTAGATCAACAGACACCTTCTTCCGCTGACTTAGCTACTGTAGCTCAGAGACATGACATTTTTACAAAGAAGAACATCTGTAGTTGATACAGTGTGTGTGTGTATACAAGTTTGCAGAGCCATAGCTGCAGTGCTGTAGCTATACGGTTGTAACTCCCATAGTGGAGACAAACCCTGAGCCACAGAAAGATTGTGACTTGACAAAGGTTATGTGAGAAGTCTGTAGCAGAGCCTGATATTAAAGCTAGGTCTCCTGAGACTTAGTTTAGCATCTTGATCATAAAGTCCTTCTTTTCCTATTTCAGTGGAAAGGCTCACCAACCAGGGCCTAGAGATGGTGAAGGTCTGTGATACCTACATTATTATCTGTGCACCTTCAGAGGACTGATCATTTTCTTCCTGTGGTAAGAGAAGAGATCGCTCTTTGAATATACCAATGTTGTCTAATTATCTTTGCTGCAAACATATTGACATCTGTGCTACTGTCACCAACTGCAACCAAAATTCCCATATTTTTAGTCAATTCTACACTTGAATGCTTCCTTGAATCTGCCAGTAACAATTGGTTTCAAGGTAAATTTAAATATCAACACTTCTTTTAGAGCATACGACAGCAATCGGCCCACCACCAAAGTACAAGCTTCAGTCACAGGAGGCAGGCAGCTCACTCACAAGAGGTATCAAGTATTAGTATCATATTTACTCCCAGTTCGTTAAAACTAAAAAGAGCTGTCATTTAAAATCATATTCCTGACACAAATACAAAGCAGGCAACATCCGTGAGACAATTGTACATCGTGGAACAATCTCAAATGCAGAGTAGGCCCAACGCATGCAATATACAAGTTGCATTACTGGGCTTTTTTCCCTCCTTTGTAAGTGTTATTATGAAGTAAAACACCTGGTAAAGGGAAGAGATCAGGGTTTGTACATAATTATGCCAGTGCAAAATGAAGATGAAAAAATCCCTATAATGGTTCTTTACGCCATTAAAAATATCATTTCCATTTCTGGTTCCTGTATTACTCAGTATTATAACCCTGACTACACACTATCAAAGAAAAAAGCATGTTCTAAAGTAAATGTGTCATTAGCGCTCTGTATTGTCTCAAGGACAAAATGAATAAAATGCAATTGTTCCTTTATACCTTTAGATCTTTGCTCTCTTCTTATGAACAATGTGGCTGCTGACTACAATCCTTATCTTCCCAATCAGTTCCAATACCTACGCTGGGCATGCTAGCAGCTCAAGCAAAGCCTCAGCCAGATTTAGACACCTGTACTTTGAGCAGTAGCACCTTAAACTTCAAACTTAGTCCCACTGAGTCTGTGCATGGAATAAGGTGTTATTGAGGGGGAAGAGGAGATGTCAGAATCCAACCCCCATGAGTTTCATATTACAGGTGGAATATGGAAGAAACAACAAATCTTCTTCAGCATTCAGATCAGAGATGGGCTGATACAAAGCTTGGACTGTGAACATACCTGAACTAGATCTATGTGTGGTTTGAATTTTGTGACTTCCTAATTCATATGCAAATTTGTCACTATCAAAATGGGTCTGATGAAAAACTGTGAAAAACACAGAGATTAACATCTTTTGAGGATGAATGACTGCAGCATGGCACTGCAGTATCCATAGACTCCAATGAAAACTTACATGTACAGGCAGTCCCCGAGTTACACGGATCCGACTTATGTTGGATCCGCAGTTACAAACGGGGCTTTTTTCGCCCCGGAAGACTGGAGCGGCGGGACGCCCAGATGCGCTGCAGTCCCACCGCCCCCGTCCTCCAGGGTGAGAAAAGCTGCTCCACGTCTCCCTGGTCTGCTGGGGGGAAGCCCCCCCCAGCAGATCAGGGAGACGTGGAGCAAAGTCTTGGAGCACGCCCGCAGCGGGCTGCTCCTCGGCGCTACTGTACCAACCCGGCAGCACCCCGGCTGCTCTGCCCCAGGCGTCCTGATTCAGCCGCTGCTGGTCAGTTTCAGCAGCAGCTGAATCAGGACGCCTGGG